CCAATTGGTTCGATGTAAATAAGAGAACCGGTTAGAAATAAGTACTAAACCGGAATTTCTTTTTTTTTTGTAGGGTTTAGGACGGACATGTTGGGAGCATTAATCAATTTTTTTAGAAATTCTACGAGAGGTGGAATGTTTATAAACTCATGCTTCGATCATTGTCAGAGTGCTTTACAAGAAACTTGGCTATCTCCCACTTCACCGAGGATCCACAACAAGGTATATATACTAAACCAAGAACTTGATTCTTTGTGTTGTGGTTCCGGTTTACAATAGTTGTAAACCGTATCCGGTTTTGGTTTCAGACAATTGCTAGGACGGTTGGAGATTGGTATTTCGGGAGACGAAAGGAAGTGAAAGAAATAGGTTGTCCATATCCATGTGATAAAACATGTCATAATCTCATTCCAGCTTCTACTACAACAGATTCTTTGGTAAATCTCGACATATAATTTCTTTTACAAATTATTGCAACAGTCAATACAGTTTTTTCCAGAACAATTAGTTACTGTAAAGAAACGATTAAATCCTAAACTGGATTGTGTAATTATATTTTATTTTTCTTCTTTTGTTATCCATGCCTCCTAATGCTCCAGACCAAAAATCTTTGGGTACACAATTAATTATTTACATTTTCTTTTGTGGTACCATGAACATATTCAGCTTCTAATGATTTGATTATATAGCAATCAAACTGGAACAAAGAATCCAACCCCTCCTTTCTTGTTTTTGTTTGTTATGTCTGTGTGAATTGATATTCCATTACTATAGGCAATGTTTCTATTGTGCTGTCTGCTTCATGTGGGCTAATCACTTACTTAAGCCCAAGAGCCGGTTTCCACCCGAGACGTACCGGTTAGAGGCTGAGAACTTAGTTATCAATTTCTTGTATCGTTTATCATTCTTCTCAATATCCTAAGATCAAAGTTCATATCTAAGCACTTAAGCCGGGGATAGAATTCTAACAGTTTCAAAAAGAGTTATTTGCTAGTTGATAAATTTTCACATTCTAGTTATACCAATTACCAACGTTGATAACTATAACTCGAAAAAGATATCATGTCATTCATATCCACGTCTCTACATCTACACTACACATGCTTTAGAAAAGCCACACAAAATTGTAGATCGTCATCATCTCATAATCCAATAGACCATATTAAACAGAGCAGAGACCGTATCAACAAACTAACAAGCTAGGGTGGTTCTAATTTCTAACTAAGTACTACTATTCTCTTTAACCTAAGCTGAAATGCTATTATATTTACCACTAGCAAACAATACTCAAATAATAGTTTCTCAATTAAAAAAAAAAACTTTATTAAAATTTTCAAAAACCTCAGTTAACACAAGTCTCTTGTGAAATAGTTAAATTTACAAAAATTAAAATTTGATAAATAAAATATTANAATTTCTAACTAAGTACTACTATTCTCTTTAACCTAAGCTGAAATGCTATTATATTTACCACTAGCAAACAATACTCAAATAATAGTTTCTCAATTAAAAAAAAAAACTTTATTAAAATTTTCAAAAACCTCAGTTAACACAAGTCTCTTGTGAAATAGTTAAATTTACAAAAATTAAAATTTGATAAATAAAATATTATTTAAGGGCTCTAATAAAGAAATCGAAAGAAACACTAGGCCCATGAATAGAAGGCCCAAACCAAGGTAAAGAGTGATCTTCGAAACTAGGGTTTTTGTCCGAAGCCTCGAGTTAATCAGTCGCTGTCTTTACCACTTTGCGTCTCTTCTTACATCATTTTCTTCACCGGAGAACAGCAAACCAGTAGCCATGGCTGAACAGGTCCGATCTCTTCCTCGTCTGTCTCTTTATTTACACACTTCTTACGAATATTCTCATCATCTTCTTTCTCTTGCAGACTGAGAAAGCTTTCCTTAAGCAACCCAAAGTCTTCCTAAGGTAAAACGAAACAAAACAAAAAATCTTTATCATTGTGCTTTACGTGTTAATCCTTATGATGATGATTCTATATGTGTTTCAGCTCGAAGAAATCAGGGAAAGGAAAGAGACCTGGTAAAGGTGGAAACCGTTTCTGGAAAAACATTGGTTTGGGTTTCAAGACTCCTCGTGACGCCATTGACGGTTTGTTTTTTTTTTAAATCTTTTGACGTATCATTGCTTTAGCAAATTCTCAGACATGTTTTTGTAACCGAACCCTTGTTTTGTTTTGTGGAAACAGGACATTACATTGACAAGAAATGTCCATTCACTGGAACTGTTTCTGTAAGAGGACGTATCTTAGCTGGTACTTGTCACAGTGCTAAGATGCAGAGAACCATTATTGTTCGTAGGAACTATCTCCATTTCGTCAAGAAATATCAAAGGTATTAATATTCTTTTTTTTTTTGTTTATTAAAAAAGTTTAAGTAATTCTATAAGGTTAAATAAACATTTCCATTAAAATAACTTCTCTTCATGTTGAAGATTAAATTTTTAAATATTAATGTTTTAATAACCTTGTTTTGATTAGATATGAGAAGAGACATTCTAATATCCCTGCACATGTCTCACCTTGTTTCCGTGTCAAAGAAGGTGATCATGTCATCATTGGCCAATGCAGGTAAAAACAGAGTCTTCATGCTTTTGTTGTATTGTAATAAGATTTAGTCACCGTCTGAATATTTATTTGTTTTTATTACAGGCCATTGTCAAAGACTGTGAGGTTTAATGTGTTAAAGGTTATCCCAGCAGGTGCATCTGCCTTTGCAAAGAAGGCATTCACTGGAATGTAATAGTTTTTTTTTGAAGCTATGGAGAGTTTTCTTTGTTTGGTTTTGATTTTGGAATGTGTTGTTTGATTGTCTACTCATTTGCAAATGATTTAGCCTGATCTATCTATGAGTTTTATATCTAAGTGTTAACATTTTGATCAAATAAAAAACAAAGTTGAAGATTTAAAGAAGATAGTTTTATTGAGCATAACAAAATCATAGTATTCATATCCAAAAGAGAGATATTCAAAAGTGTTAAAAAGAATCAAGTTTGAATTCAATTGTTAAGGGTTTAAAATAGTATCGTAGTATGCAAGAATCTATTTCATTAGGCGCAACACCATAGAACCAATCTAGTACAAAAAGTTAAAGCAGGTCCTACCGAGAGTCGAACTCAGGTCGCTGGATTCAAAGTCCAGAGTGCTAACCACTACACCATAGAACCAATTGCTATGATTTTCAAAGGTGCAAGCTCTGTCGTTCACGTCCGATGTTATTAATTGTGAAACTCAGGGCATCACCTTATATATATGTTACACTTATTCTTGGGTTCACCCCCTAGGGTGAAACTCTAGGTTCACCATCCAATAGAATTGCATTATTTCATATTTGATATCTTTTTAAAAAGGAAAGAAAATCTTATTAAGTTATATGTTTTTAAAAATAAAAATAGAAAATAAATAAATAAATAAAAAATAAATAAAAACGAAAATATTTCTTTTTAAAGAAAATATTTTAGCATTAACCCCTAAACTATGATCACAAACCCTAAATCCATGGTTAAATCATAAACCTTTAGATAAATCTTATAATGTTTTAAAAATTTAATATTTATGATTTACCCAAGGGTTTAGGGTTTAGGATTAGGTTTAGGGTTTAGTGTTTATGATTTACCCAAGGATTTAGGGTTTAGGATTAGAGTTTAGGGTTTAGTGTTTATGATTTACCCAAAGGTTTATGGTTTAGGATTAGATTTTAGGGTTTAGTGTTAAAACCTTTTTTTTTTAAAGAACTTTTTTTTATAAAAGTTATCCAAAGGTTTATGATTTACCTAGGGGTTTAGGTTTTAGGATTAAAGTTTAGGGTTTAGTGTTAAAATATTTTCTTTAAAAAAAGATCATTTTTGTTTTTATTAATTGTTATTAGTTTTTTTTTTGTATTTTTATTTTTAAAAACATAATATAACTTAACAAGATTTTGTTTCCTTTTTTTGAAATATATCAAATATGAAATAGTGAAATCCTATTGGATGGTGAACCTAGAGGTTCACCCTAGGGGGTGAACCCAAGAATAACTCTTTTTTTAAAGAACTTTTTTTTTATAAAAGTTATCCAAAAGTTTATGATTTACCTAGGGGTTTAGGTTTTAGGATTAGAGTTTAGGGTTTAGTGTTAAAATATTTTCTTCAAAAAAAGATCATTTTTGTTTTTATTAATTGTTATTAGTTTTTTTTTTGTATTTTTATTTTTAAAAACATAATATAACTTAACAAGATTTTGTTTCTTTTTTTTGAAATATATCAAATATGAAATAGTGAAATCCTATTGGATGGTGAACCTAGAGGTTCACCCTAGGGGGTGAACCCAAAAATAACTCTATATATTATATATAGTATACGGTTTTATTAATTAAGCAACTCATGATATCACAAAAAGAAATAATAAAAAGAGGAGAATGTAGGAAAGATAAATTTTCTTTGTTTTAAAATATTCTCTAAGAAATGTTAGATATGTGTCAACATACAATTGATTGAATGTTTTTAAATAAAATAAAAATAAAATATGTTTTGTAAATGTATTAAGATAATAATATTTTGTACTTTTATATATCCAATTGAAGATACTATCATTAAAATTATTTTTTGAATATCTGCAGCGTTAAATTATTTTATCCAATTCTCTCAATTTAAATATAATAACATATATTTAAAATTAATAATTTAAAATTTGTTGTATCACTTGCATAATGTCATCTGTCGATAGTTTGGCTGAGAGTCTCTTCCGAAAAGATCATTCTTACTTTTTTTTTTTGTTTTTCTTTTCTTATGTTTTGTTTTGTTTTTTGTATTATATTAAGTAATCTTGTCATTTTTGATCAACGCAAGTGGTTTTAAATGTTTTGCTTGCATTTACATACATAATAAATTTATAAATAGATATAATATTATCAATTCAAATATCAGCCGAAAAAGTTATTATTCACAAGTTTGAAATATTTAATAATAGATTAAAAAAATTCTTTATATGTGCATATTTTTTATAATAACATAAATAGTTTTATTAGGTAAATAAATTTGAAACACCAGACCGTTCATGTCTGCACATTGTATCTCAACACTCAAACGTTTAAAATATTTAGTAATAAATTAAATATCAATTTTTTTACATATAACTAAATATTTTAGTATAGTAAATTTCTCTTTTATTATGCAAAATATATTTGAAAAAATCATGTACACAAAAGTTATATAATATATATATATATATATATATATATTAATATTTTTTGTTTTTTAAAAAATATGATGTAAAATAACTTTTAGGATAACACAATATAAAATATTTTTATCTAATGATAAATATCAAATCAGTGAAATTACTTTTAACTTATGGTTAATTATATATTAACTAATTTAATTGTTAATTAAGGTAATAAATATTTTATAACACATTATAAACTATTTTTAGATATCAAATTATTGAAATTATTTTTTATTTATGGTTAATTATGTATTGATAAATCTTATTATTTAGGTTGACTTTAGTCACTCTAACTTTTAATGAGAGAATTCAGATACAAAAAGTCACTTTGCAAAATCCAAATAGTAGTATAGATAAACACAATATAGTAAAAAGTATTGACAAATTTAAGTAGAGTTTAATTTTTACCTCATGATGATTTTAAAGAGTCAGACTTGTATGCAATTGTTGTCAATAATCATAATTAACATTTAAAATCTCTAAGCATATTTTTCTTTATTACTATATTTATAAATGAAAATAAAGATTTGTTTCCAGTATTGTTTAACGGCTGTGATATGATACAATTGGATTACTATTATGCACCATATATGGTTATGACTAGAAAATAAAAAGTAAAAGAAAAAAAGGAAAAAATAGTATATTTTATTACTAAAAGTTATAGCTATCTTGACCAAGAAAAAGAGTTATAGCTATCCATGTATAGGCATTTATCATTAACGTTGCTTTCTTTCAAATTATATTATATGTATCATCCCCATGCAGGTTCAGTAGTTCTTGAAATATCTTAGTTTGGGGTTTTATCAATGCTAGTTTATGTTTTTTGGGTTTATAGTGTATCAATATCAAGTGTTGGTCTAACATTTTATTGAAGGTTGTAAAAGATTTATTTGAAAAATGATCGTAGGAGAGAAAGCTAGAGGTGGTTCATCATGGAGTAGGGATGATGATATTGCTTTTGAGAGTGCTCTTGCGATTTATATCGATGAGACAGATAACCGTTGGGAAAAGATTGCTGGGGTTGTTCCAGGGAAAACTGTAGAACAAATTATAGAGCATTACGAGACTTTACTTCATGATGTTATGAAAATTGAATCTGGAGACATACCTCTTCCTGATTATGATATTCCAGAAGATACAAATGTTAGAAGAAAAAACATTGGAAAACGTAGCAACGATCGCAAATGTGAGAATAAGCAAGAAGATGAACCAACATCAAAGCCAAACCGACGTAAGGCGATTCCATGGACACCGCTTGAACACAAGTTAGTTACTACTACTACTTCTTCTTCTTCAATTCACTTAATTATGCATCACGTTATTATGCAATTATTTTAGTTGTACATAGAATATTATCATAAATTATATAAAAACAAGATTACAAATTTCATTTGAGTGTAAAAAATAATAATAATAATAATAAATAATAAAAATAAAGAAACAACAAACAAAAAGAAGCAAAATATTATGATTTTTAAAAAAATAATGGTTTGAGTATTAGCTTATTTTCTTTTTATATATATCGGTATGGTTTGTAGTTGATATTTTTATAAAATGTTGAATCATATGATTTTTTTTGTTTTCTTGGAACAGTCAATTTCTTCTTGGTCTAAAAAAATATGGAAAAGGTGATTGGCGTAGCATTTCTCGTCATGTTGTACTGACGAGAACACCAACGCAAGTTGCAAGTCACGCTCAAAAGTACTATGAACGTCTCAAATCTAAGAACAGCAGCAGGCAGAGACAGAGCATTCACGATTTCAACGTTGCGGAAAGCATTAACATCTCAGCAATGGAAGCACCATTCACATGGCCAGATGCTCAGGCCACTTCACAACCATCACTAGACCATCCTACCATATGGAACACACAAGCCACTTCAAAATCAATAGACCATAATGTATTTGGGAAACCTACCATATGGAACATGCAAGCCGCTTCGCAACCACCAATGAATGTTCATGTCTATGGCACACCCACTATTGTCCAATCAATGGTTGGACCAAAAACTGACATGAATCTCTTGGCCAGATCAGTCGGCCCTTGGGCCAAACCAGTGCCTTACGGGGTTCAACATCATTTGGTTCCTTACTCTTCAATTCCTTATGCACCATTCAACAGAGGTCCAGTTCCATATACCATGACAAATATATCTACTTCACGTTAGGTGCGGTTGTATTTTATGCTTGTTTTAAAGTGTGTCATTTGTGTATAAAAAAACTTAACATTCAATTTGCCTTGTCATTAACGTCAAATTCTTGAGTTTTATATTTTAGTTGTTTTTGTTTGTTATGAAAATGTATCATTTGGGGGAATATTATACTATATTATATTTTACTTGTTGACAAACCCTTTCTTATGAAGTTTTACATTTTTACGTAATTTATTTAGTTTGAAAATGAAATTTGTTTGTAAAATTACGTAATTTTAAAATCTAGCTAGCATAAGTGTTAAATTAATATTGCACATCTATAGATTTTTCTTAATTTGTTTTCAAAATTGGTATACATTTGTGTATTATAGTTTATTTTGAAATTTATATGAAACTTCTTTCTATTTGAAATGTACTGATTGCCTAATGTCAATATAAGATATTTTATGTCTTTTTTCTGGAATACTATATATTTTTAGTATGATTATTTTCCAAATAAAATCATAATATTATGTGAATCCTTATGTAAACAACTTTCAAATAAAAAAAAAATATATATATATATGAATAATAAAAATGACAAAAAGTATTTGAGAAATTGTTTGAAATACGATAAGTTGACTACCACTTTTCAAATTATACTCAATCAAAATACATAACATTTGAGTCTATGGTTTAGTAATATTGTTTACAGTTTAGTATATAGGAAGTCAGATTGAGTTTATTAACTTTTATAAATAAATATTTACAAATAATTTTTAAGTAATTATAAATGATTTAGGCGTGTTAGTTTAATCTTCTTTTCTTATAAACCTAAGTTATTAATAAAAATAATCAGTTTAAAAAGAAATTCAAAAAGTGTCATAAAATTTATTGTAAAACTAGATGTTTTTCCCGCATGTGCGCGCATAAAGTAAATACATGATCTTTTGAAATAAAAATTAAAATAAATTAATATTCATACATTCAAACTATTTAATAAAAGTTAAAAAATAAATTATTTCTATATAAGTTTTTATCATAACATAAATATTTTTATCACGAACATAAATTTAAAAACAATTAACGCTCTTGAAATATTTAATAATAAATTAAATAATAAGTTTTATACATATGACAAAATTTGTCAATATAACAGATATACCTTTTATTGCATAAAATAAATTTGAATTATTAGTATATTTATTAATATTATATACAATATAATTGGCTTTATATTTTATATTTTTTAAAAAAATCTAATGTAAAATATATTTTTGAATAACACAACATAAACTATTTTTATACAGTGGTGACTATCAAATTTATAAATTTTGTTTTAATTTATGGTTAATTATATATTAAAAATATAAGCTGACAAAAAAAAAATAATTCATTAACAATAATACAAACTTTATAACATAATATAAAATATTTTTAGATAATGATAAGTATCAAATCACTGAAATATATTTTTAATTAATGGCCACTTATATATTAATTTACTTTTAGTTTATGGTTAACTAATATAAACTATTTTTAGATATTGATAAACTCATTTATTCAAACAATGAAATTTCTTTTAATTTAAGATTAATTATATATTAATTCGTTTTTAAGTTATAGTTAACTATATATTAATAAATTTAACTATTTATTAAGAAATAATAAGTAATCATTAGTCAAAATCCTAAAAATATGATAATTAAACAAAATTATCTAAAATTATGGATAATATGTTAACTAAGCAAATTTATTTGAGAAACTGTTAGAGATACCACATGTTAAGTACAAATTTCAAAAATACCACAAATCAAAAATATAATAACAAATTGAGATTGAACTTATAAATAGTTTTTAAATATTAAAAAAACAGTTTAGTGTTATTTTATGAGAAATTCCCTAGGATAGACATGAATATTTTATTAGGTGAATAAATTTGAAACACCACTTTCAAAATATTAGTAATAACTTAAACAAAAAATATTTATATGTACATATCTTTTACAATAACATAAATGTTTTTATTAGGTAAATAAATTTGAAACACCAGACCGTTTATGCCCGCCCATTGTATCTCAACATTCAAACTTTTAAAATATTTAGTAATAAATTAAATATCATTTTTACATATAACTAAGTATTTTAGTATAATAAAATTATATTTTACTACGGAAAATATANTACATATCTTTTACAATAACATAAATGTTTTTATTAGGTAAATAAATTTGAAACACCAGACCGTTTATGCCCGCCCATTGTATCTCAACATTCAAACTTTTAAAATATTTAGTAATAAATTAAATATCATTTTTACATATAACTAAGTATTTTAGTATAATAAAATTATATTTTACTACGGAAAATATATTTAAAAAAAATCATGTATACAAAAATTGTTTACAATATATATATATGTATATATATATATATATATATATATATATATATATATATATTTATACAAATTTATCTTCTTTTTTTTAAACGAGAAATTATGATGTAAAATAAATTTTAGGTTAACGCAATATAAAATATTTTTGTCTAATGATAAATATCAAATCAGTAAAATTATTTTTTAACTTATCGTTAATTAATATATTAACTACTTTAATTATTAATTAAGGTAAAATAATTTATAACACATTGTAAACTACTTTTAGGTATTAAATTATTGAAATTATTTTTAATTTATGGATAATTATGTTTTGATAAATCTAATTATTTATTAAGGTTGACTTTACTCACTCTAATTTTTAGTGAGAGAATTCTGATACAAAAAATAACTTTGCAAAATCCAAATAGTAGTATAGATAAATAAAATATAGTAAAAAAGTATTGACAAATTTAAGTAGAGTTTAATTTTTGCCTCGTGATGACGTCAAAGAGTCAGACTTGTATGCAATTGTTGTCAATAATCATAATTAACATTTAAAAGTCTAAGCATATTTTTCTTCATTAATATATTTATAAATGAAAATAAAGATTTGTTTCCAGTATTGTTAACAGCTGTGATATGATACAATTGTATTATTATTATGCACCATATATGGTTATGACTAGAAAATAAAAAGAAAAAGAAAAAAGAAAAAAAATAGTATACTATATTACTAAAAGTTATAGCTATCTTGACCAAGAAAAAGAGTTATAGCTATCCATGTATAGGCATTTATCATTAATCGTTGCTTTCTTTCAAACTATATTATATGTTCTGATCCTCCCCATGCAGGTTCAGTAGTTCTTGAGCAGTTTGGGGTTTTATCAATGCTAGTTTATGTTTTTGGGTTTATAGTGTATCATTCTCAAGTGTTGGTCTAACATTTTCTTGAAGGTTGTAAAAGGTTTATTTGAAAAATGATCGTAGGAGAGAAAGGTAGAGGTGGTTCATCATGGAGTAGGGATGATGATATTGCTTTTGAGAGTGCTCTTGCGATTTATATCGATGAGACAGATAACCGTTGGGAAAAGATTGCTAGGGTTGTTTCAGGGAAAACTTTAGAACAAGTTATAGAGCGTTACAAGAGTTTACTTCATGATGTTATGAAAATTGAATCTGGAGACATACCTCTTCCTGATTATGATGTTCCAGAAGATACAAATGTTAGAAGAAAAAACATTGGGGAACGTAGCAACGATCGCAAATGTGAGAATAAGCAAGAAGGTGAACCAACATCAAAGCCAAAGCGACGTAAGGTGATTCCATGGACACCGCTTGAACACAGGTTAGTTACTACTACTACTACTAATTTTTCTTCTATTCACTTATGCATGATCATACCAGTTCCGAACCTATATAGACAAAATAATCGATTTTTTAGGACATCACGATATTATGCAATAATTTCAGTTGTATATAAAATATTATCTTAAATTATATAAAAACAAGATCACAAGTTTTCATTTGAGTGTAAAAAAATAATGAAAAAATAATAAAAATAAAGAACAAAACAAAAAGATATTATGATTTTAAAAAAAACAACATACCAACATTTTGAATGGTTTGAGTGTTAGCTTGATTTTTTAAATATATTGGTATGGTTTATAGTTGATATTTTTTATAAGATGTTGAATCATATGCTTCTTTTTTTTTTGTTTACTCGGAACAGTCAATTTCTTCTTGGTCTAGAAAAATATGGAAAAGGTGATTGGCGTAGCATTTCTCGTCATGTTGTTCTGACGCGAACACCAACGCAAGTTGCAAGTCATGCTCAAAAGTACTATGAACGTCTCAAATCTAAGAACAGCAGCAGGCAGCGACAGAGCATTCAAGACTTCAACGTTGCGGAAAGCACTAACATCTCAGCAATGAAAGCACGATTCACATGGCAAGATGCTCAAGCCAATTCACAACCATCACTAGACCATCCTACCATATGGAACACACAAGCCACTTCACAATCAATAGACCATCATGTATTTGGGAAACCTACCATATGGAACATGCAAGCCGCTTCGCTACCACCAGTGAATGTTCCTTTCTGTGGCACACACACTATTGGCCAATCAATGGTTGGACCAAAGGTCTTACCTACTATTGGCCAATCAATGGTTGGACCAAAGGTCTTACCTCATGGAACAGACATGAATCTCTTGGCCAGATCATCCGGCCCTTGGGCCAAACCAATGCCTTACGGGGTTCAACATCATTCGGATCCTTACTCTTCAGTTCCTTATGCACCATTCAACAGAGGTCCAGTTCCATACACCATGACAAATATACATACTTCTCGTTAGGTGTGGTTGTATTTTATACTTGTTTCAAAATGTGTAATATGTGTTAAAAAAAACTTAACATTCGATTTGGCTTGTCATTAACGTCAAATTCTTGAGTTACATATTTTAATTGTTTTTGTTTTATGAAAATGTATCATTTGGGGGAATATTATACTATATTATATTTTAATTGTTGACAGACTCTGTGTTATGAAGTTTTACATTCTTAGCTATTTCAATTTGAAAATTAAATTTGTTTGTAAACTTAAGTAATGTTAAAATCTAGCTAGCATATCTGTTAATTAATATTGAACATCTATAGATTTTATTTTAATTTTGTTTTCAATTTTTTTACATTTTTCTATTATAATTTATTTTGAAATTTATATGAAACTTATTTCTGTTTGAAATGTACTGATTCTCTAATGTCCATTTTAAATAGTTTTATGTTTTTTTTTCTTTCTGGAACACTATATATTTTTAGTATGAATTTTTTTTTCCACTTTTAAAATCATAGTTTTATGTGAATCCTTATGTAAACAACTTTAAAAATGTAAAGAATAATCAAAAATAAAAAGAAATAAACAAAAATATTTGATAAAATCTTAAATTTTTTTTCTATTTGTTAAAATATTATGGAGAATTTTTAGCTTAAAAAAGGATGCATTGGTAATCGAATTATATATATATATAATATTTAGGAAGTGAGGTTGAGTTTATTAACTTTTATAAATAATTATTTTATATTTTTTAAATATTAATAAATGATTTAGGCGTGTTAGTCTAATCTTCTTTTCTTACAAAGTTAAGTTAGTTATAAAAATAATTATTTTAAAAATAAATTAAAAAGCAGTATCAAATTTACGGTAAAATCAAAATTCTAAAATATCATAAATAAAAATTTTAAATTAGAGAAACAGAAGGGTAAAAATGAAAAAGAACGGAAACAAGAGGGTCTACCTAAGTAAAACGAAATAAATATATTCCGGTGTGAATCGAACATCTCTCTTTGGGAGAAGAACCTCAAATCGTGAGGCGTGAAGGTGAAGGAGACATAGCGATTCCTTTCGGTTACGCCGTAACTGTAAACCCTAGCTTAGATCCCTCTCCGATTCAAGCTTAACGGTTCGTCTCTTTCACCTTCTCCTTAGATCTGCTTCACAATCATCTCTCTGTAGATTCGCCGATGCTTTAAAACTGTTAACTCTAGCCAGATTCTCGTAGATTTTCGATTCATAGCAACGTTTCTCAATACGAGTTGAGATTAGTCTTATCTTATTGTGAGATTCGATTAACTTTGTGCAGAACTTAGATTCGACTCGCCGATGGTTTAAAACGGTTAACACTAGCCAGATTTTCGATTCATCGCACGGTTTCTCAATACGAATTGAGATTAGTCTTATCTTATCGTGAGATTCGATTAACGTTGTGCAGAACTTAGATTTGATTCGCTGATGCTTTAAAACGGTTAACACTAGGCATAATCTTGTAGATTTTTGATTCGTTTCTCAATACGAGTTGAGATTAGTCTTATCTTATTGTGAGATTCGATTAACGTTTTGCAGAACTTAGATTCGATTCGCCGATGGTTTAAAACGGTTAACACTAGCCAGATTCTCGTAGATTTTTGATTCATCGCACCGTTACTTAATACGACGAGTTGAGATTAGTCTTATCTTATCGTGATATTCGATTAACGTTGTGCAGAATTTAGATTCGATTCGATAATTTAAAACGGTTTAACACTAGGCATAATCTTGTAGATTTTCAATACGAGTTGAGATTCGATTAAAGTTGTGCAGAACTTAGATTCGATTCGCCGATGCTTTTAAACGGTTAACTCTAGCCAGATTCTCGTAGATTTTCGATTCGTTTCTCAATACGAGTCGACATTAGTCTTATCTTATTGTGAGATTTGATTAAAGTTGTGCAGAACTTAGATTCGACTCGCCGATGCTTTAAAACGGTTAACACTATGCATAATCTTGTAGATTTTCGATTCGTTTCACCATTTCGTAATACGAATTGAGATTAGTCTTCTCTTATTGTGAGATTCGATTAACGTTGTAGCAGAACTTAGATTTGACTCGCCGGTGCTTTAAAATGGTTAACACTAGGCATAATATTATAGATTTTCGATTGATTAGATTCGTGTTATCTAATTTGTTGAAATGGATTACGTGCAGAGAGCTACAAGGAAGTTTTATTAGATCACTGACGACGGCGAAGACCTAGGATTTTTGCGTTTTTGAGATGTCGAGCTTTCGCGTGGGAGGGAAGGTAGTGGATAAGGTTGATTTGTGTAGGAAGAAACGCACGGCGTGGCGTTTGGATGTTTGGCCGTTTGCGATTCTGTATGCTACTTGGTTGACTACGATTGTTCCCAGCTTAGATTTCACTGATGCTTTGATTGTGTTTGGTGGACTTCTTGCTACTCATATCTTGGTGTTGCTTTTCACTATGTGGTCTGTGGATTTCAAGTGTTTTGTTCAGTTTAGCAAGGTAAGCTCGTCAGTCTAATGGCGCTGCTTGTAAATGTTAAATTGAGTTAAAAGGTGTATGATGGCCTTGTGTCTGTGTATTGATTTACAGGTTAATAGTATCAACCAGGCAGATGCGTGTAAAGTTACACCAGCGAAGTTTTCTGGGGCTAAAGAAGTCGTGCCTCTTCATTTTCGTAGCCAAGTAAGCTCATTCAAGATTTTAGATTCAGTTGTTAAGCTGCCACTATAATAATCTCGGTGACTGGTTTGGATTTTAAACTGGATTTAGTTTACTTGTATGACTGAATATATGTAAAGTTCAGTGTTTTTTCCCAACGAATAAACACACTGTCTCTACAAAAAAAATAATGAATTTATACCGTATACTGTTTGAATAATCTTTAGCCTGGAAATGTTCGAGTTTACAACTCTTATTTATCATGTTCTAACAGTTTTAAGTCTTTTAATGTTTGCAGATGACTGGCTCGTCATCCTCAGGGGAGATGGAAGAAATTTTCTTTGACTTCAGGAAGCAGCGTTTTATGTACTCAAAAGAGTTAGGGGCCTTTTCGAAGCTTCCTTATCCCACAAAGGAGACTTTTGGTCACTATCTAAAATGTACTGGACATGGTACAGAAGCTAAAGTTGCAACAGCCACTGAGAAGTGGGGAAGGAACGTGTAAGTGGACTTGTAACTTTTCTTTACGTGCATCTATACTTCCTTTTTTTTTTGGCTTGTCTCTGAATTTATTCAGTTAATTTTCTTTTAATGTGTAAGCAACTTCTTTTTCTAAAAATCTCTCCTGAATATATCGAAAGTGGGGGTTGTTCTTTTATCCGGTTTGATAACTTGTTTCTGCTTCTCGCAGATTTGATTATCCGCAACCTACATTCCAGAAGCTATTGAAAGAAAACTGCACGGAACCATTTTTTGTATTTCAGGTGCTGTTTACTTGAAATGCATGTATCTTACAGTTCTTTTTTCCCCCACTCCTCTGTTGCTCTAAGTATTGCGTTTCTTCCTCTTTTGCAGGTTTTCTGTGTGGGTCTTTGGTGCTTGGATGAATTCTGGTATTACAGTGTGTTCACACTATTCATGCTTCTCATGTTCGAGTCAACAATGGCAAAAAGCCGCTTGAAGACATTAACCGACCTTAGACGAGTTAGGGTGGACAGTCAGACTGTGCAGGTGTATCGATGCGGGAGGTTTGTGATTGAATAACACGAAAGTTTTCCTTAAGATCGCTTCAGTAATACTGATGTCTGAAAATGTTTAATTTAGGTGGGCGAAGCTCTTAGGCACTGATCTACTTCCAGGAGATGTTGTGTCTATTGGGAGGCCGTCTACCCACACTGGAGGAGAGGATAAGACAGTACCAGCAGACATGCTTTTACTTGTAGGAAGTGCTATCGTAAATGAAGCCATTTTGACTGGGGAGTCAACTCCCCAGTGGAAGGTACTTTCTTTCCTCAACGTCATTTTGTTTGTTTGCTTCTTTTTCGAATTATCAATCTCTGGACTTTGGATTTGATGAGTTCAGAATTGTAGCAGTGCACATATAATAAATTTGGTCCATCTTATTTATTATTTTGCATTATCAGCTTATCTTACAATATGTGTGATAGTTTCTAGCATCTTGTTTGGAACTTTGAATTGTCATTATTAACTAGTGAGCAATACTTACTTCACATAGGCATCCTTGTAAAATATGGTCCATATGTGTAGTGACATATGTTTTGCTGAGATTGCATGGTGGGTATAATAGGTTGCAGTTGCTGGCGAAGGATCTGATAAAAAATTATCAATCAAAAGGGATAAAAATCATGTTTTATTTGGCGGGACCAAGATTCTACAACATTCACCTGACAAGGTAAATCCGTATCAACAATTTCGACCATTTATTCTTCAGTGCTTGCCCCTAACCTGTGTTCCATACTACTTAATGTGTGGTCAGTCCTTCCCTCTGAAAACCCCTGATGGTGGCTGTCTAGCTGTTGTTCTCCGAACTGGATTTGAGACAAGTCAAGGAAAGTTAATGAGGACAATTTTATTTTCTACAGAGAGGGTTAGGGACCTTTCCTTTGTTTGTTGTTTCATTTTCACCATGTTAGAGAATTTGTTTGTTCTAATTCTTTTGGTTTAAAAAATTAGGTTACTGCAAACAGCTGGGAGAGTGGTCTGTTCATATTATTTCTAGTTGTATTTGCCGTGATAGCTGCGGGCTATGTTCTTGTAAAGGTACGTTAATATTTGTTTCAGGTTCTTATTCAAATAATATATCTATTTGTACTAGTGCTGAAGAATCTCCTTTGCAGGGTCTCGAGGATCCTACAAGGAGCAAATATAAGCTCTTGCTAGGCTGTTCAATTATCATCACTTCGGTGATCCCACCCGAATTGCCTATGGAATTGTCCATTGCTGTCAACACGTCATTACTTGCTCTAGCACGTCGTGGGATATTTTGCACAGAGCCTTTCAGGATCCCTTTTGCCGGGAAGGTAGTATCTATTATACCTTATTTGGCTATTTGATGGTGTTAAGAACTCTTTATCTTGAGCAAGTGGCACCCTGGAAGGAATTAGTAATCGTTCTTTTTTTTGTATTCTTGTCTTATTAGTGTCTCTCTCTTTAATGACAGGTCGATTTGTGTTGTTTTGATAAGACTGGTACACTCACGTCAGATGACATGGTAAGGTTAAGTGAAGTTCTGGGTATATGCTTGCTTGATTTTGTTTATGGTAAATTCATTTTCATTTGCTGCTACATAGGAGTTTCGAGGAGTTGGGGGCTTGGCTGATGGAGAAGAAGCAGAGACTGATATGAGCAAGGTTCCCGTTCGCACATTAGAGATTTTGGCATCGTGTCATGCTTTAGTCTTTGTAGACAACAAGCTGGTATGAGCAACTCAGTTTCTTTTCTTTTTCTTTTCTGCCCTAGAGAAACTCAGTTTATGGTATAGGTTTTGATGTTATTCCTGTTTTGGTCTGTGAGAACTTTCATTTTTGTGCAAGTCTTTGATTTTCTTTTCTATAGACTCTGTTGATCCAGTCTGTTTTTGTTTTTATTAATCTGACAATGGATTCCATGTTATCTTTATAAAGTCTGAACTAAATGTAAGTTTAGAGTTCACATGTGATACACGACACTTTTACTTATGGTCATCTTTGTGAAATCGCTTATACTTTGCTTTTGCATCATTAGTCATCATTACGAATTTCTGTTATGTTTCACTCTGTTTTTCAATACTTGCAGGTTGGTGATCCTCTTGAGAAGGCTGCACTTAAAGGAATTGACTGGAGTTACAAATCTGATGAAAAGGCCTTGCCTAAAAGGTATTATTATCATTTTTATCAATCTCGTATCCTACTGTTTTCACTCTGTCTACGGTGATTACGGTGCATTGATTTTGAGAAGAAAGGCTAATATAAGGATGCATTAGTTAAAATGGTTTCTTCTTTGTTTATGGTTCTATGTTCCTATTGAGGCATATTCAGGCACCTCGCGTACCTATCGCTTTCTTTGAAGCTGATATCATATACACCTTAATGGTTTCGCCCTAAATATAATAATCTCTAGTTCTGTTTAATCTTGAAATATATTCTTGCACGAGCCAAGGCTTAAATGTTAGTAATTTTTGTTATCTATTTAAAGAGCCGTCTGCACACATAAGACAAAATTATTTCTCATTGTACTATGTTATCTGCTGCAGAGGAAATGGCAACTCGGTACAGATAATGCAGAGATACCATTTTGCTTCGCATCTGAAGAGAATGTCAGTTATCGTTTCTATTCAGCAGGAATATTTTGTGTTTGTGAAGGTCTGCTTACTACATTATATTCATTGGCTAAATTCTATCAATAAATCCGAATCTAAATGTTGAATGCTTATGTTTAACTTATCAGGGTGCACCAGAGACCATCCAAGATAGGCTTGTGGATGTGCCAGCAGCATATATCGAAACATATAAGAGATACACACGCCAAGGATCTCGAGTTCTTGCCCTTGCATTTAAACGACTTCCTGAGATGATGGTAGTTACGCATGCTCTGACTCATGAACCTGTTGGCATCTTGAAAAAACTTGATGCATGTCATTTTAGCTAGAAAGTTGTGTCACTCATACGCTTTACTGACGTACAGAATAGAAGTTCACTGCTCATTTATTTGATGTTTGTAAATCTCTAAATTTGTGTCATAAATTTTACTTTCTTAGTTCTTGTGGTGAAATTGTTAGTTATCTGTTTGTTCTTACGTACCTAACAATAAATATTAACATCCAGCGCCTTTGTGTTCTGGATTATGCAAGCCTCTGCGGATTAGCTTTTAATATTTACTTTACGTGTATTATTGACCAGGCCAGTGAAGTTAGAGACCTGGACCGAGATGCTGTTGAGAATGACCTTATTTTTGCTGGGTTTGCGGTAATGGCATAAATCATTATGCTCTTATGAAGCTTTATATTCTTCATTTTGGTAAATTTTAAACGATGGTCTGGTATCGATATTGTTCGTAATGATTTATAATGCATCACAGGTCTTCAACTGCCCCATTAGATCAGATTCAGCAACCGTTCTCTTGGAGTTAAAGAATTCATCTCATGATTTGGTAATTATACTGTGTATCTTATAATGCAAACTGGCTCGTGTATTTGTGGGCCTCGTACCACTATCTGTAGTTCATTCAGTTCTTTTTATTCCACTCAGTACAAAATTGCCTGCGAAGTAGCCATCTCAGAATTCAATTCAGAAAATATAAATGACTATTGATATAGCTTTTCTTTTTTTATTTATACACGGGATGTCTTATTCTATTTGCATGATTTCAGGTGATGATTACAGGTGATCAGGCATTGACAGCTTGTCATGTTGCAAGCAAAGTGCATATTGTATCAAACCCAGTCTTAATTCTTGGCCAGTCAAGGCCTGGTGCCGAATACAAGTGGGTGTCGCCTGATGAGAAGGAGATCATTCCCTACAGGTGCAGTCAAAATTACTTTAGAATTAATGCAAATTCGTGTCCTCGTCTTGTACAAGCTTAGGTGTTCACATGATACCAGCAGTATATGTTGTGACAGTAGTCTCCATACTTATCTTTTTATCTTCTGTCATCGAGCATTTCTGCGCCTTCGAAGTAGTTTCTCTGCTATGATGATTGCTCAAATAGACTTGGTTTTTGTTTTCAGTGACAAAGAGATTGAAACCCTAGCAGAGACGCATGATTTATGCATTGGAGGAGACAGCATTGAAATGCTACAGGCTACATCTGCTACTTTGCGAGTCATTCCGTTTGTTAAGGTATATATATATATATCTTGTAATCTTTTTCACTTGTTTATTATTTCTTAACACCTGGCACTTTAATCATTTCTCCTTTCAGGTTTTTGCGAGAGTTGCTCCACAGCAGAAGGAGCTAATCTTAACCACATTTAAAGCGGTAGGAAGGGGAACTCTTATGTGTGGGGACGGAACAAATGATGTCGGAGCACTGAAGCAGGTAACGCATATAGGAATTTCATTTTGAAGATTGAGCTTTATTTTCTTTCTTTTGATTCGATTTTTGTTGTTCACATTCCCAGGCCCATGTTGGAGTTGCCTTACTGAATACTGTGACTCCCTCGGAATCATCTAAAGATGATCCAAAGTCAAAGTCGAAAAAACCCAAACTACCATCAGAACCAGCTAGCAAAATGGCAATTCAGAACGGGGAAGGATCGTCAAAGGCAAAGGTCCCACCCCAAAACCGTCACTTAACTGCTGCAGAATTGCAGAGACAAAAGTTAAAGAAGATGATGGATGAACTAAACAATGATGAAGCTGATGGCCGGTCAGCTCCCGTTGTAAAACTTGGGGATGCATCAATGGCATCTCCCTTCACAGCCAAACACGCATCGGTTGCCCCAGTGACAGACATAATCCGACAAGGTCGTAGTACACTTGTGACAACTCTTCAGATGTTCAAAATCCTCGGTCTCAACTGTCTCGCCACAGCTTATGTCCTTAGTGTCATGTACTTAGACGGTGTGAAGCTCGGTGATGTCCAGGCAACAATCAGTGGCGTATTAACAGCTGCGTTTTTCCTCTTCATATCCCACGCTCGACCGCTTCAAACCCTCTCTTCAGAGCGACCACACCCGAGTGTCTTCTCCGTGTACCTCTTCCTCTCTCTCCTTGGACAGTTCGCTGTCCACATAACCTTCTTAATCTACTCCGTCAAGGAAGCCGAGAAGCACATGCCAGAGGAATGCATCGAACCGGACGCAACGTTCCATCCTAACCTGGTGAACACTGTTTCCTACATGGTGAGCATGATGCTTCAGGTAGCGACTTTCGCTGTTAACTACATGGGCCACCCGTTTAACCAGAGTATCAGGGAGAACAAACCATTCTTCTACGCGCTCATTGCTGGAGCAGGGTTCTTCACGGTGATTGCATCTGATCTCTTCAGGGACTTGAATGATTCGCTTAAGCTGGTGCCTTTGCCTGAAGGTATGAGGGATAAGCTTCTCCTCTGGGCTTTGCTTATGTTCGTCATCTGCTACTCGTGGGAGAGGTTGCTGAGGTGGGCTTTCCCTGGTAAGATTCCTTCGTGGAAGCATAAGCAGAGAAGTGTCACTGCGAATCTGGAGAAGAAGAAGAAAGTATAATAAGAAGAGCCAGACAGGTTATAGGTTCAGGTAAAACAATTGAATACAATTTTAACTCAGAGAGATGTTGGGTTGTTTTTTTTGCTGAAGCTTTGTAGACATGAGCATAGGTCTGTCTCTCTGGTTAAGGCATTTTGTTCACTTTATAATGTTCCTTCTCTTTTCTTAACTTATGTTTTGGTTACTCTAAGAAGTAGCACACATTTCTCATATACTTGAACTAAAATGTAAGGGGTTTACATTAGTCTCTACTTCTTGTTCCTTGCTACCATTTTATTTGTTTCGTTTAGTGTATCTGAGACATTTTAGACTAGTAAAATTTTGAAACTAGCCAAAACGATTAGTGCCTAAATTTTGAGATTAGTGCAAGGAATAGAAGACGACAAAACATAGTAAGTGGTTAATACTCTGTTGGGTTCACTATACCATTTGGAGCTATAGACCATCTTGTTCTGTTTAGCTAACAAGATCAATGTTTAAGAAATAGAACGTTTGATAAAAGGTTATTGTTTAGATGGTGTTTATACCAAACTTCCTTGATGACTAGAGCCATTTTTTACTACCTAAACCAAATTTATGATCAGTGAACAAGATCACTCTCTCTGGTAAAGTGGTAAAACAAGTGTACATATTATTTTTACTTTTGACCAAATAACGGCGGCAAATACTGAATAAGGGTAAGAAGATAAGTTTCTCTGGAGAGATATTTGGCGGTTTTAGGGCTCTCCCTCAACCACTTTTGACGGCTTTTGTGTGTTTCATTTCCTCTCTGTTTTCGTCTGCTCTTGTCTTCTTCCTCCGTGTCTCCCAACCTCGATCCTAAAAGGTACCTCCTCTCTGCTCTCAAACTCTCTCGATTTCACCTTTCCACGTTTTTCAATTTGAGATCACGATCAATGCAGGCCGTTAATTTCAATACTTTTCCACGAGAAAAGAGTTACGCCGCCTCGCTGTTAAAAAAAAACCCTAGCTTTAGGGTTTTGCTGTTTTATCTTTCTCGTCTTACTAGGGTTTCCATCTATAATCATTTAGGTATCTGTTGATTTTGCTGAACTCTCTCCCTCTTTTCACTTATAGCTTGAAATGTGAATCGCTAGAGCTTATACACGATGTCCGAGAAGAAGCTGAATCGTTATACAATGTCTAGCTCCACGATCAAGAACCACCACGTGGCAGAACATAACACNTTTATCTTTCTCGTCTTACTAGGGTTTCCATCTATAATCATTTAGGTATCTGTTGATTTTGCTGAACTCTCTCCCTCTTTTCACTTATAGCTTGAAATGTGAATCGCTAGAGCTTATACACGATGTCCGAGAAGAAGCTGAATCGTTATACAATGTCTAGCTCCACGATCAAGAACCACCACGTGGCAGAACATAACACCTCCTCCAGCAAAGCCTTGGTCACAGTCAAGTTAGAGAAGGAAGAAGAAGAAGAATATAACCTTCACATAACTAGAAGCGTCCTCAAAAAAAGAAAACAACTCTCTCAATCACCAGACAAATCCATAACCTTTGCAGTAAAGCGTGAACACAACACCACCTTTCAGAATCAGAAAACCACTCGTTGGAACACTGATAGGTATCCAAAGACACAACCTTTAACATCATTCACACTTACCCTTTATATAAAGTTGAGACCTTTATTCTTTTTTGTATATAAAGTCAAGAGCTTTATTGTTTTTATATGTAAACAGGAACTTTATGCTTACCCTTTATATAAAGTTGAGACCTTTGTTTATATATATGTAAACAGGATTGATGCAGCGGAGGAAGCAATGGAGGGTATATTAAAGGAGGTAGGAGCTACTTTTGAGACACCAATCTCACGAGGGGAGTTAAGAGCAATAGCAAGGAAGAAGATTGGTGATACTGGTTTGTTGGATCATTTATTGAGGCATATTGATGGGAATGTGACACCTGGCGGTGCTGATCGGTTTAGGAGGTGTTACAATACTGAAGGATATATGCAGTATTGGCTTGAGAGTGCTGATTTGCTTGAGATTAAACGTGAGTCTGGTGTTGCTGATCCTACTTGGGTTCCACCTCTTTGGTGGAAGTCGAATAGATTGATTAAAGTTGAGCCTGGGGATTGTGGTGAAGCGTCTTTGAATCTTAAGGAAGCTGTTGAGAAAATGAGGAGGTGATAATGAATGGTTTGTTATAGTCTGAGATTCAGTGTTTTGTTGTGTTTTGGAATGACGTTTTTTTTTTGGTGGGTGTGTAGTGATATTAGAGAGCTTGTAGCTGATGTGGTTCATATTAAGCGTGAATCTGGAGTTCCTGATTCTGATTTGATTCCTTTAGCTCAATGGAAGGTTAAGAGTGCATCACATGAGTCATCTGCTGTCTCTTCAAAGCTTAGGGAAGAAATTGATAAGATGAAGAGGTATTATTCTGAGCTTTAACATTTGCTTTGTTTATAGTCCAGGAGGTCCACTTGTAATCTCACTTTGTTTGAGGGTTATCCAGTGATATCAAGAAACTTGAATCCAAGCCAAAGTTACCAGATCATGCTGACGCAAATGAGGTGACTTTTGTAGATTATTTTTTTACTTGTGTGAAGATGATCATAACTAGAGACTCAAAACTATATGTTTGCATTTCTCTCCAGAAACTATTCAAGGAATGTATGAGGTGGAAGGTAGAGACTGATAAGAAAATTGCAGAGATCTCAACTTCATTGACTTCAACACAGGTCTAGAGTCTAGACCAAAAGCTAGTAAAAAGTATTTGTTTTAACCTAAGCTTTTGTCTCCTATGCTTGCTTTCTTCTGTTGTCAGTGCATGGTTAAGGAACTAGCTTCGTGGAAAGACAAAGTAGAACATCAGCTTATGGGCATTTCAAACTCTCAGAACAATCTGCAGGCAAATGGGAGCAGATCTCCTCATAACTGGGAACATCTATTGCATAGTGCCAACTTAGATGATTTTACAGTAAATGGTTTCGAGCCATGGAATGTTGAAGCTGACCTTAACGATGTTCTACCTGTGAGGCCTGATGTTTACTCGTTTCCACCAAATGCTCGCAAAAGCTCTTTACAAGATCATATGTGGTTTGAGGAACAGTCAGTGCTCAACTCCGAAATGCAAAGGACGGATAGGTTAGAGTGGCTGCTTGGTTTCTAGGTTCAGTTTATGGTTTTGATATGATTGTTTAATATTGTTTTTTTGCTTTCTTATTTAGCTGCATGACGAGAGGTGATTCAAGAAGCTGTAATCAGGACAAAGCAGAGATGACTCCAGGTTCTTCAGTGACTGTTGGTCCAAGATCAGATATTGACGACCCAAATCTTCTTTCTCAGGTAAGGTCTTTAAGCAAATTAGCAACATTGATTTGGATGATCATTTAAGAAAATCTTGTAGCCTCTAATCCCTTCTTGTATTCGAGTAGATGTTACTTAACTACCCTCCCATCTTCTCACAGCTTTTGCTTCATTCACTACTAGACATTGCATAGTTTACATGGAATTTTGCCAAAGCTTCAGATTATGTTAAGGAGTGTCTTTATTTGAGAATCTTATCATGTGTTTTTTTTTTGTTCAGGAAACATTGAAAGAGTTGGTGAGCTGGAAAGCTAAAGCAGAGCAGCAGTTAATGGAAATGTCAGAAGCTGTCCGTGAGCTTCAGGGATAGAGAGAGTCAAACTAAGAGGCACATGAAATGATAGATTCACCTACATAGAATCCCTTTGGAGACTTGTACAGAGTTTCTACTATAACTGAAAAAAACAAAGAGAGTAGAGTATCATCAGTAGAGGGCATCTGGAAAGTTTAGGAACAGGTAGTAAGTGAGCATCAAAGTGATATATTTGAAGCTAGAGACTCATTAAGTACTTTAATTTTAGTAGTTGTTGTTTCTGTATATTCTCTCTAGTAGGCTCTTATTCAACAAGGAAGTCTTTTAGTAATCTTTTTTCTTGTCTCATCTTCGAGCATTCAAATGACTTCCTCTTCGGTAATCTCAATCCATTAGTAGGTCATGACCTAAAGAAAGCTGTTTGAGTTGCTATCGGATTAGCTAATTGCATTACTATTTGCTAATTAATCAAAGTAGATGATATGCAGCTTAAGAGCACCATTATCGCTGGGCTTTATAGAGTTGCTTAATGTAATTAAGCCTTAAAAATAAATCAAAAAGACAAATAATTGTTTGGGCCGACGCTTAATTTGGGTACAAAAGGGACGGTCCCCAACGCCACGTGTAGGCAAAATAAGAGGAGAGAGGGGAGACACGGTCGGTTCTGTTCTCTCATTTTTTCTTCTTCTCTCGAAATCTCTCTCAAATTCTGTCGAAGACCGAAGGCGATTGTGTCTCTGTCATCGTGATTCCTTGATCTTCAACGGCGTTAATCCATCTCTCTCACCGTGGGTCGTCGACAGCTCCGGCAAGTGTGTCTCTCTCTCCGCTTTCTTTCAAAATCTTTGGAAGACGAAGACGAAGACAGACCTCTCTCTCTCGGTGGCTGTGGTTGAGGACGAGAATCGGTGATTATCTCCCTCGTCGGCGAAGGACCGGTATACCTCTCTCTGGAATCCGTAGGTAAATCGTTTGTGGTGTTTTTGAAGCATGCATGTTTTAGATTCGACTTATTGTTGTACTTATTGAATGTATTTTTTTGTTTGCAGGTTCGATTGGTCTCTTGCCGTGACTCTCCTCAACGGCAGAGGATCTCTCTGTCGATGGTTCTCCGCGATTCGTTTAGGTAAATGTTAAGTTTACAGTTTGATTTGGAAGTTAAATTAACTTTTTATTTCTCTGTTTGTGTCGTGAGATGAAGAGATCTGTGTTTGGATAGGTTCGGTGGGAAGAGAGGTCAAGAAGGTTCATCAATACAGGTTACGTTTACTCTTCCATCTACTTGAAATTTCATGTTGAATCATTGATAAATTGGTTAGGTAATTGATAAATTGGTTAGAAAATTGATAAATTGGTTCATGAATTGTTTGTTTCTGGTTTTACAATTTCGATTTGGAAGTTAATTACTTATTTTGTTTCTCTGTTTGTGTGGTGAGATGAAGGTTTGTCTCGTGAGATGAAGGGATCTGTGTTTGGATAGGTTCGGTGGGAAGAAAAATCAAGAAGGTTCATCAATACAGGTTAGGTTTACTCTTCCATCAACTTGAAACTTCATGCCGTGAATTGATAATTTGGTTAGATAATTGATAAATTGGTTTATCAATTGTTTGTTTCTGGTTTAACAATTTCGAATTCATTAATTGGTTAGATAATTGATAATAGTTAAATTGGTTAGCTTTGTAATAAATTGTGAAATTATGGTTAGCTTTAAAATAAATGTGGTTAGATAGCATTGGTTGTTGTTCGGTGTTAGATAAATGGTTAGATAGCATTGGTGGTTGGTTTTTAGATAAATGTCCCGTCCTAATTCAAGTCTGGTTTTTGATTTAAACGTGAATTTGTTTGTTGTTTGTTGGTTGAGTGTTAGATAAATGTCAAGTCCTAATTCAAGTCTGTTTACTTTTTTGAATCATTTATAACCACTGTCTCCCTTCTCCAATCTCCAACATCGAATGAGCTTTTCAGTTTGTTCTCCTCTTCCTCCTATTTTTCCTTTATCTCCTGTATCTCCTCTGTCTCTTATTTCTCCTGTGTTTCCTCCTTCTCCCCTGTCTCCCCTTTCTCCTCTATCTCTGACTCAAGAAATAGATTTCAATCCATTTCAGGACTCTGCCAATTTTGTTGAACTACTTAATAGTCAACAAAATGTTGTCTTTGGCAGTCTTCCCAACCCAATCATTGCTGACGAGATTCCAGCTGAGCGTAAGGAAAGAAGGACGTGGACTCGAGAAGATGATCTTGTGTTGATCAGCTCGTGGTTGAACACGAGCAAAGATCCTATCGTCGGCAATGAGCAAAAGTCGGGGGCTTTCTGGACTAGAATTGCAGAATACTTCTCCGCGTCTCCTAAGATTGATGCTTCCAGAATTGCAGACGCATCTCAGTGCAAACACCGTTGGCACAAGCTGAATGAAATGGTTTGCAAATTCTGCGGTGCCTATGAAGCAGCAACCAGAGAACAAACTTCTGGTATGAATGAGAACGATTTGCTGTCAAGAGCCCACGCAATCTTCTTCGCAACCAATAACAAGAAGAGGTTCACCCTTGAGTACGCGTGGAAGGAGCTTCGGGCTGACCAGAAGTGGTGTCAACTCTCTGGAGCAAAAAGTGGAACCAGCTCCAAGAAGAGGAAGTGCCAAGATGGTTCACATACCGGAAGCTCTAAACCAGCTGGTGAAAACGATGATGATGTAACATGTCGTCCTCCTGGTGTTAAGGCATCAAAGCTGAAGGGGAAGCAGACGGTGGCTGAGGGGAAAAATCTGTCTGATTTCGAGGCTATGTGGCAGCTGAAGGAGAAAGATTTCTCAAGGAAGGAAACACTCTCAAGGCTGAAGGTGCTTGAGAGTCTTGTTGCAAGAGGAGGAGCTTTACTTGATTACGAAGAAGAAACGAAGAAAAAACTCATGCTTGAGTTGATCTAATGTTTAAGTTGAATGTTTATGTTGTGGTTCTTTATGTTTTAGTTTATTGTTATGTTTAAGTTCAAAAAACTCATGCTTGAATTTCTCTGTTGTTATGTTTAAGTTCAATGTTATGTTTTTAATTACTGGTGTTATGTTTAAGTTCAATGTAATGTTAAAGTTTATGCTTTCTCTAATGAATTGTGTTGGTTTAATTACTTGTTTTAATTTCTCTACTGAATTGTCTTGTGTTCTCTACTGAATTGTCTTGTTTTACTTTCTCGTTTGTTGTTGTTAATTACAGAAGCATTGGAAGTGGAGGACGTGAAGTGTCACGGTTTGTACTCAAGGACGTGAAGTGCCACGGTTGTACTGAATTGTCTTGTTTTACTTTCTCGTTTGTAGTATTTAGTGTCACGGGTTTGTATTGTAGTGTAGTAGTGTCACGGGTTTGTATTGGGACGTGAAGTGTCACGGGTTCTCTCATTTTGTTGTGTAGTTTCTGGTATTGTAGTGTCACGGGTTCTCTCATCATTTGTACAAAACTACCAAACTCTATATAATGGACAGAAGTTGGTACAAGCAATTGCACATCTCTCTCTCTCGACTTTTACATATCAGTGTTCAAAACTACCAAACGAATTTGTACTCTTTTCATTACAAGAACAAACACATCTCTCTCTCGACTTTTACATCTCTTTGTCACAATTTTCTCTCTTTTCATTACAAGAACAAACACCATTTATGGCTTCTTCTTCTCGAGACAATTTAGATAACAATTTCGATGATGCGTTTGATGACCATTTAGATGACGCATTCGATGATCTCTTTGATCAACATTTTGATCAAGCTTTGGAGGATTTTACCATTCAAGAAGCACGAAGAAAAAGAAGGAGGAAACGAATTTATATCGAAAGGAATCGTGAAGAAGGGCATATTCGGTTATGGAATGATTATTTCAGTGAAACTCCCACGTATCCTGATAATGCCTTCCGGAGACGTTTTAGAATGAATAGACCATTGTTCATGCGCATTGTTGATCGACTCTCCAACGAAGTTCAATACTTTCGTGAAAAGAGAGATGGTCTCGGAAGGATTAGTCTCTCTCCCTTTCAGAAGTGTACAGCAGCCATTCGTGTCTTGGCATATGGTTCTGCGGCTGATACGGTCGACGAATATCTTCGCCTCGCTGAATCAACATCTCGGCTGTGTCTTGAACATTTTGTGGAAGGAATAATAAATTTGTTCGGCGATGAGTACCTGAGAAGACCGACACCAGCTGATCTTGAACGTCTCCTTGCTGTTGCAGAGTATCGTGGATTTCCCGGGATGATAGGAAGCATCGATTGTATGCATTGGGAGTGGAAGAATTGTCTCACCGCTTGGAAAGGGCAATATTCACGTGGTTCCGGTAAACCAACGATCGTTTTAGAAGCGGTTGCTTCATACGATCTCTGGATATGGCATGCGTTTTTCGGACCTCCAGGTACATTAAATGATATCAATGTGCTTGATCGATCTCCTGTTTTTGATGATATAATTAACGGTGAAGCTCCAAAAGTCAGTTTCTCTGTCAATGGAAGACAATATCATCTGGCTTACTATCTAACCGATGGTATTTATCCAAAATGGGCAACTTTTATTCAATCTATTCCTTTACCACAAGTGCCGAAAGATGTTTTATTTGCTCAACGTCAAGAAGCTGTCCGAAAAGATGTAGAGCGTGCTTTTGGAGTCTTGCAGGCTCGTTTTGCTATTGTTAAAAATCCAGCACTCTTCTGGGATAAAGTCAAAATCGGGAAGATTATGAGAGCATGTATCATCCTCCATAATATGATAGTAGAAGACGAACGAGATGGATACACTCAATATAATCTTGCAGAGTTCACTGAAGGAGAAGAAAACAGAAGTTCACATGTCGATCTCAGTTATGATCAAGATATCCCTACAAATTTAGCAAATAGGATGGGTGTTCGGACAAGCATTCGGGATAAGCAAACGCATGAACAACTCAAACATGATTTGGTTGAGCATATATGGCGTCAATTTGGGGGTGATGAAGACAACCACTAATTATCGTTTAAGCTCGGATACTTCTTTTATATAATTATCGTTTATTTTACTAGTCTGTGGTTTCATGTTTTTATTTGAAAA